TCACAACATCATTTGTTCCAATGTGTAGTACCACATTCTTCACAGTCGGATGTTCAGCCCAATATGCAGGATCTTCTCAGCCAAGTCAGAGACCACATCCTTGGGGAAAACAGAGTACTTTGGTGTTGTTCTTATTACACAGACCTTTTACATCTCTTACAGCAGAGTCACCCACAATCAGAGTTTCAGGCCCAGTCGTTAGCTTTCCCTCTAGCCTTTTACTTTTGGAGTAGCTATTGGTCCTTACCCTGCTGTGTGAAGAGGACAGGTTATCCAGGTCATCAGATCTCCGGTTCTCGGTCAGCGGAGCGTATCTGTTCTGGATTGGCACACTTGGTGGTTTAGGAGGATTGTTTGTAATTCTCCCTTTAGCAGCTGTCCACTGCTGTTTCCTAGTATGAATAGGGGTTGAAGAGGCGCTCTTCCTGGGTGATAACAATGCAGGCCAGCCGGTCGCATCACAGATTTCAGAGCGCTGGGCTCTGCATGTTATCCGTCCTCCCAAATCCCATGGAAATGATTTACTCTTAGGCCTTGCACCCAGAGAGTTCTAGGGAGGACTACCACTTGTAGATTTATTACCCGGTACACAGCCCTCCTGTTCCTTGGAATCCTTGTAGCTGCTAACTAGCTGTGAGTTAGCATACCCTTCTCCATTATTTTCCAACACTGGTAAAGTGGTGTCATTCCCATGACATAGTCCATTCACTTCCACGTTAACTTCCAACCGTTGCATTTTCATTTCCAACACAGCTATCTTCTGTATAAGTTTGTGGAAGTCATCTGTAGAGAACGGAGGCATTTTGCTACCAACTAGCTTAAGCTAAATAGCATGCAGTAGCCTACCAGGCTTTAGCTGTTGCTAGGCCACGCTACTGTAAGACTGAGGTCGTCAATATGGCTGAAACCCTCCGTCTATTTACGAAGATGAACTGTCCCAGTTAATGTCCAGGAGCCGCTGCTCGAAGTTTTCAGAGAATAAGAATAGTAAAATCAGCATAAAAAGTAAGCAGAGGCAGGAGCAAGCAGAAAAGCGTCTGCACTGTAAGAAAGAAAGATATGTATATAATCCAACACACTCTCACTCCCTAAGCGTCCAGGAGCGACGTTTGGTCAGTGTCCGTGGCGTCCAGTTGTGACGCTCCTAGGCTCCTTCAGCGTCATAAAGGGACGCAAATAGCTTTCAACTGATTGCAATGTATTCCCATCTGCGGCGGGATTTGACGCTCATGGAAGCACGGCATTCGTTTGTGTCGGCTGCCCTTAAAGGCAATGTGAGCGTCCATTCCCATTGGATAACGGAGAATTGTACACCCGGAAGTAAGTATTCCTCTTACTGTCGATTGATTTTACAGTGATATCTGCACTACTCATCGACTAAAAAACACCAGATTATCCTTGTTAATTACACAACATTGATTGGTTTAAATTGTGTGCAATGCTTTTGTATTTTTCCCCTTCGATTCGGAGAAACAAATATTTTTTCGGAGTTAAGGATGGCAGAAGACACTACACTACCCAGAATCCCCAGCTATCGTTTGGACTACATCATGTGCTCTGTTTGACAAACCCCGTTTGTTTCACTATTCATTCCAATGGCTGGCATCTATGTCACGTGATCTTCAAATTTCTCCCTGCAGAAAAAGAAAACTTTGTTTTATTCTCGGTGGAAAATGCCTATTTTAAAGTTAGTTTGGCCATTAAAATGCGTTTTGATGTCATTTGATGCGAGAAATATGAGTTGTTATTTCAGATTATGTGTGCAGTGGATGTCCATGATCTTTAGTTTGCTAGTTATTACGAAGATTACTTCAGGAAATCGCGACATTTTCATTGTTACCAAGGTGGTTGCTAGGGACGCTGCTATCGATATTATTTCTGTTATGTTGTGTAACTGTTTAATGGTGTTATCTTTATTGCTACCCCCTTCCCCGTCAATGTATAGTGTTGGTCCACAGCGCAAACATATTAGTTTAACAAAATCCGCATCTAAAGATAGCCTACGTTATTTTCCCCTGTGCAATTCCAGTCTCACATCTCACAGCACATCGTCATTAACAAATACCGGAAACAGACCGAAAACTTTTTTTAAAATAAAATAGTACTTTATTCCGAGTGTGCTTGCTTTTCTCTTTGAAAGTCATCACATAACGGCATTGTAATACACGGTTCGGCTGCATTAAATATTACATATCTGCCATAGTTCTGTATTTATAGAGCCCTGATGAAAAGACTTATAGACAAACATGAGGAACTGAAAACGTGACGTGGATCATAAATATATCAGCCATTAAACAACATCTTACATTTTCTTTTCACACAATACGTCTCCTTGCAGTATCAACACTAATTCGGCTGACTTTTATATTTGATCCAATTGGTAGATAGGCTGTATTTACACCATAAAGGTGCACAGCTGATATAAAGGGACACCTAGTGGTTAAAGCATGTTATTGAATTTCATTATTTGTATTATTAGATATTAATAGGATCCCTATAAAATATATTCATTACTCGTTATTCTCTACTAATAGTTAATTAAAGACTGTATATAATGACTATTTTGCACATCCCTTTCAAGATTTTCTAAGGTTTATTGACATATCATATAGGCCTACACAACTATGGTGTAGTTCTGCATTGAATGAAAAACTTGGGTCGCAGGTTCCTCAATAGTGCATAACAAGACATCTATCAATATTTGTGCATACCTCCAGCAATGTTAACTATGTTGAAGCACTTATTTTAACTGATATTATACATAATGTATTATACTCTTATAAGATGTATGTAGATATTTCATCTCCGGCCTTGTGAGGTATTGAACAATCAATAAATAAAGAACACAGAATTGTTAAATATAAAACACAGAATTTGTGTGATTATACTAAATGATTTACAAATAAACACCACTGCATATTTACAACTGTTACACATGCTGATGTAACGCAAATGTTCCAACTTGGGATCAATAAAGTATATCTTATTTTAAGCTGATCGATGGCTACTGCCATATTTGCAAAATGTGCCTCTGAACCTTGACAAGTGCATGTTTCAGGCTTATCAATTAATGTAATGTAATGTAATGTAATGTTATCAATTAACAACAGGAGGGGTCACAAACATAAGACCAGCTGTTAAATAAAGCTCTTCTGACCTTAGCTGGCATGTGTGTATATATATATTAATGCTGCCCATTATGGGCACAAGCAATTTTCACCCATTTATTAATTATATGTTTTAAATGTGAGTGTTTCCTACCCCCTAAACCTCCAGGGATGTACACAGTTTAATACTGGCAACTTCTTATTATGGGAAATACGAAAACGTCTTTTAAAACTCCCAGTAGAGACGTGCCATAGATAGAGAACATGTTGCGAAACAGAATAGCCAGCATGTGTAGTTCTGGGGATGGGGAGGGGGGGGGGGGGGGGACGCGGTGGACCGTTCAAATCCAGTTTTGGACAGTCTGCCTTGGTTCCATCCCATTTCAAGTGCTGTTCGAGAATCGGCGTAACCCTCGGAGCACACTCTCCAATCACAGAGCTTGAGGACTATCACGGGGTTTGTCAAACAGAGCACATGGTGTAGTCCAAACGATAGCTGGGGATTCTGGGTAGTGTAGTGTCTTCTGCCATCCTTTACTCAGAAAAAACATTTGTTTCTCCGAATCGAAGGGGAAAAATACAAAAGCATTGCACACAATTTAAACCAATCAATGTTGTGTAATTAACAAGGATAATCTGGTGTTTTTTAGTCGATGAGTAGTGCAGATATCACTGTAAAATCAATCGACAGTAAGAGGAATACTTACTTCCGGGTGTTCAATTCTCCGTTATCCAATGGGAATGGATGCTCACATTGCCACGGACACTGACCAAACGTCGCTCCTGGACGCTTAGGGAGTGAGAGTGTGTTGATATAATCGTATATTCATTTTCCATTCATCTGTCCTCTTATATCTTTGAAAACAGTTGGCCTCTTTTTTTCCCCATTGTCAAGCATCATCTGTGCGTCTGCCCCTGTAATAATGACACATTTCCTTAACTGCTGTGTGTGTGTGTGTGTGTGTGTGTGTGTGTGTGTGTGTGTGTGTGTGTGTGTGTGTGTGTGTGTGTGTGTGTGTGTGTGTGTGTGTGTGTGTGTGTGTGTGTGTGTGTGTGTGTGTGTGTGTGTGTGTGTGTGTGTGTGTGTGTGTGTGTGTGTGTGTGTGTGTGTGTGTGTGTGCGCACGCGTGTGAGACCACTTCTTGTTTTTGGTGGAGTAATAAGGAAACTCATAGTCAGGTCTTTTGTAAGGAGCTTATTGTCAACGACTACTTCCACACGCTTAATGGGCCAATGCATTTGGAGAAGAAAGGCAGGAAATAGAAAGTTGTTGAGTAAGTTGCTCACGACCTTCTGCCTTACTCAAAAGACTGTTTCTGAAAATGTGGTAACCTTTCTGTGGCTCCATTTTTGTCTTCTTGCTCTTACTTATACTTCCATCCTGCTTACTTAAATACATGTGTCTCACAAAATGCAACAGTTCCATGCACATGGTTTTATAAACAAAAACAAATTAATAATAATATTTATACTTCTGCAACACAAAACCAGTGAAGTTCCTTTAAAAATCACTCTTTGATATTGATGTTTTTTTCCTATTTTAACTTTCTTTGTTACCAGAATTACACATATCATTTCCATTCCATTTTGCTCTTGTTGTTTATGATTCATTTATTTACTCATGAACCACCTTATCTCTGGTCTGACTTTGTTTTATTATGCAGTGGCAAACAGCTCAGGCTTCTTCATGGACTTTTTAAAGGTTTATCAAATAAATAAATGAGACAAATGTACAAACAGGGAGCAGCTGAAGTTAGTTTTGTTGGTTTCAAAGTCCAGAGAATCACAAGGTCTCTTTATCCTGTTGCTCCCTCTTTTTCTGCTGACCATAGCAGGTGCCCTGGAATTCATGACACACACACACACACACACACACACACACACACACACACACACACATACGTTTTTTAGCTTCCTTCTCTTTCACACATGCAGATTTGTATTCCTCATTCGAATAATCTGCAAAAGATAAATGGCCAGTAACAGGGTCCACGCTGCTTTGCCTGACCCTCCCAGTCTGAGTGAAGAGGAGAACAAAGAAGAAGAGAAGGTTTTTGGGAATATATTTGCTGAGTTAGAATCTGTGGACCTGCCCCTAGGAACCACCTTAAGGTAACATCATGCAATATTCAATGCACTCTTTCTACTTCCATTTGATACCGTTGATGGAAGACTCGATAACCTGAGTAACATATCAAATGATTTAAAATTCTAATTGGAATTAACATATCAAGAGATGCCATCAACCAAGAAAACCATACATACATTTTGATGTACTCAAAATGCTAAAAGTGCAATTGTACTTTTAGTGCAATGCACTCTTAAACCACTTTAAATATACAAAGAATTTAGCTTGAAAATGGAATGAGTGCTTATTTCCAGCCTTTCATTTTGCCCCAAGTATTGCTTGTCAGGTGGTTGAGATCGACCATCTGCAGCCTGGTACAAAAAACAACGTATTTAGGCATGAGTGCGTTTTTTTCAATTTGTATTTTCATTCACATGTGAAGTGTAAATATATAACATTTCTTAAAATGTAAAATCAATCAAGGACAAGACAATAGAGCTCCCACTTTTTTACGTTAGATGCTTATACAATATTATCTATCATAGTATCAAATCTCTTTTAACTAAACTTAATGTGATGTTGAGCAATTTAAACAAACTTTCCTCATAACACTTTACAACCTGCCCTGTATGACCATAATGCACTTTCATTAGAATAGCACTTCCAAATTAACATGTACCTTAAGATAGCCATAATTATTCTTGTCTGAAAAATGTCATTATTTAATTATAATATGTATTTATATACAGCTCTGAAAAAACCCCAATTCACATTTATTTTAAATCTCAATGTCTACACGTATGGCATCCATTACATTCCAGTGTCTGTTGAACTGAGAAATGTAGTATAGAATACAAATATTTGTTGTTTAATTTTACTCAAACACATACCTATAGTAAAAGCAGAGAAACTGATCATGCTGCAGCTTTCCAGGTTGAATTAAATTAGAGTCAACAGTCTGCAGTACAGTCTGCGCCCCCCACAGGCCAGAGCCCGCGCTGCCCGGGGCTGTGCGCTGTAGCTGCAGTGTTAGCTGAGTGTTAGCCTCACACACACATAACAGTCATGGCGGAGAATGAGACCCTGGAGTGTATAACGGAGCACGAGCGGATTTTGCAGGAAATTGAGAGCACCGACACGGCTTGTGTTGGTCCCACTCTTCGGTAAGAATATACGGCTTAATGAAAAGTCCTTCCCAATAAAAATGTCCGTGTATGTTGAATGTCCTACGTTATCAGAGCTTTGTTCCTTAGCTAGGTTAGCTATCCTAGTCAGCAGGCTAACATTAGCTGACAGGCTATATGGTTTTGAAATGAACCGTGAGTCTAGCTGACTTGCTAGCTAACATTGACCACTATTTCAGTTATTTGAATGTACTGTAGGTATAGTAAAGGCGCGTTTGTGTGTATTTCCAGACTCAGTCTATTGTTGGACATCTGGTGACCTGTCACAATGTAAACACAGTTGTGGGTGTGGCTGTGGGACTCCTCATCTTATCATTATGAAGCTGATTTGAGCTAATAGCTAACTACTTCGGCTAGTTGTTAAGCAGACATTTCACATGTACGCTACTGTCATCCTGATATAAGTAACCCTGATTGGGGTGAGTCATCTTGAAAGCCTGGTAGCGGTAACATTGGATGTGGAATTGCTTAAGCTAACGTTCTAACACACTGCATAGGTTATGTTAGGTAGCTACCAAGCTAGCTTCCAAGGCCATAATGATTGACATTAGTTTGAAAAGCCAATGTTTATAAACTGACTGCAGCCTCAGCTGAATGTTTCCGCCTCTCACACACACCTGTTCCGTAGACATGCCTGTAGGCTATGGTTGTCTCTCTCTCATACCTGGGGAAACCAGTGAATATATGCCCTAAAGGTAACATTAAATACAGACCTCAGCTCAGTTTCAGTGATTACTATATGTTTTTACAACACTGTCATTGTATTTACAGATGAGCTTGACAGTCTAGATTAGTTGTTACAAAATGATTGTCAATTGTTCTTTTAAATATTAGTATAGAATGATACATTTTTGTTTTAGTTTTTTCCAGCATTTGCCTACTTTGTCATATCTTTAAGTAAGATATGACATCATTTATGCTAGCTGCTTTACTTGTCTGTGGCCTGCTTTAACACCCATTTAGAATAACTGGATGATGTGTATTGGCACTAATCTCAATTGATATTCTATAATTATGGCGCCTGTATGATCTACAAGTTTCAATAGCAGACTATTTGCAAATAGAAATAATGTCAAAATCACAGATTATATTGGCTAATTTGACTTGTAACATGTTTGTAACTTTACCTCTACAGTCAGGTACTTGTATGTATTTGTAAATGCATTTACATTATTTGTATCTGGTTTTTAACAACAGGAATTGACTTGATGGCAGTTTTAGGGATCGAAATTGGGTAAAGCATTATAGCTTGTTGAACCTCCGGCCGCTCTGACTCCAGCCTTTTCTTAGGATGTTTTCAATTTGCATACATTTCACTGCTTGAATGTGCTTTTCTTATTCACCTCGGTGCAAGTGTTTACTTACCAGCTGAAGTCTGGACTGTTTTAGTGAGTGTCGCCTGGCAGTTGCGTGTACCACCTTCTGGGATTAATTAAACCTTCATTTACAAAGTTTTGCCTTAAACATCTCTTTAGGGCTGAGTGGTTTTACTAACTATCTGACTGACTTTTCCTAACATGATAAGAGCAATGCTTGATAACTAGGGATGCACGATATTGTTTTTTTGAAACCGATAACGATAACTTCCTGCTTCTCAAGACCGATAACCGATAATAAAAAAAATGTACGCCACTAATTATTTTAACGCGATTAATGCATGTGTCTTTTTTTTCCGAGTTTAAAATACCATCTACAAGCTGATGCTGACAGCCCCGCTCCTGCCGCCCGCTTGTGGCAGACCACACTTCCACGCTCACCGGCAGGCACCGACTGGCCATCTGGAGGACCGGGAGGGTGTGTGTATGTGTGGCCCGAGCGAGCGAGAGAGAGACCTTACGTGCATTGTTGTTGTTGGCATCTGGTGCTAGCTAGCTGCGCTAACGAATATACGGAGCTGTTTAAATGAAAACAGAGGAGCGACATTTCGCCACAACTGCGCCGAGCACTTGACTTTATGCAGGAAGCCAGACAGTGGGACATTGTACGAAAAGTCAGCACACTCAGCACGGATAGTGCGCAACATGATTGCAGCGTCCAGGCAGCTCCGGTTCGAGCATATGCCTTGAGTTGCACATAGCTCCAACGCCCATACCACCGACGACATGTTTGTTTACTGTCCTGGCTTCACGGCCGCACACCATTTACGTCACAGCCAGGCATGAGTTAGGGAGCGCTGGATTTGTGAAAAACTCCCCTCTTCCTAAACCACTAATACCACAGTACTGGCAAAACGGGAGGAGCCGAGTGGAAAACAAGCGCCCCTCATCCCAATCCACCCACACCGCAGTATTTTTTTCTTTTTTTTTACCCAAAAAATATATTGTATATTATCGGGGCTATTAATACTGGTATCGGGTTTATCGGGATGACGTCATAATTCCTAATATCGGACCGATAATTATCGTGCATCCCTATTGATAACACTTCATAGATGTTTAATCTTTTGATTCACTTCTATTAAGGCCCTCGTAAACACAAATGAAAAACAAAACATGTTCAACTTATTCTGGCTTTCTTTGAGATGTCTGGCAGGATAACGTCGGAAAATGGCTTGAAATCATAAAGTATATGGGGACATTTTCCTAACGTTGTTGTGTCTTCTGGTGTATAGCTCTGCTATGAGGAACTACAAAAGTACTGAAGCATATCGGCCCACTCAGTCAGCATACACACTGTCTGGCTGGACTCTTTAAGAAAGCACACATTGACATTGTAATAACTTTCATGACGTGGACAAAGGTCCGCACAGACTGTTCATTTTTATAATAATTACTTTATCTAGAGCAGGGCTCGAGATTAAGGACTGCCCGATGGCCCGGGGCCATCTAGAATTTAGCTCGGGCAATGAAGCCTCACCTGCTGGTGGCCCGATCGGGCAATCTATTATGCCAGTATCATGCAGCTCGCGGATCCATTAATGAGTGACCCGACAGTAAAACTAAACATATCTATAACTAGTTTAGGTAGTTTGAGAGGTAATTAAAATAGCTACGTGTGATATTCTAACCTGAAGTGTGTGTTTTGTCCGCTCACCGCTGCATGTGATCATGCAGAGCTGCGTGTAGACTCGTCAGCAGCAGCTGATCTCTCTCTACCATCATATTAGACTTTACTCGCGTTTATGTCCATATCGATCAGATCCAGCTAGTTCTAGCTAATGATATGACTACCTGTTTATTAAAAGAAACCTAAACAATAAGTGTCGCTATGCAACCGGGTGAGGCCACAAAGTATAGCGCAGCATTATGCATTTGTTTACATTCCCACCGGAACCCCGAGGCACAATCAACCCATACAGGACATCTTTCTCCACATTAAGTGTTAGACATTATAATTGACTATTCATGTCTGTCACATACTCTTCTTGTCTGTCACATAAGTGGCGTAACTGAAGCGGTATTGCTCTAAAGGGAAATTATTTTGACCGGACATTTTGTTCCGAAGAGATTTAGATTTGCCGGATCACGGGAACTTTGACGTCGCCATTTTGTGTGCTTCGCGGATGCGCTCGGCTCCTCGGGTCTGCTCGGTCAGCTTCCGGATGAGGAGGCATTCGTTCTACCAATTTACAGTAGATAACATTACAAACATTTTTAACAGGGGCCATAATAGTGTAAATAATGTTTGTTTTGGCAGTTATAACTGAATGTAATGTTTTCTACTTTTTTACATCTGGGAAGGCATCTGCCTTCATCAGATGGAAAGTGTCTTGACCAACAACTTAAGTATTTATTAGGGTATGCAAGCGAGCAAACACAAACAAGAACAAACAAACAAGTGAAATGAAGAATACAATTGAAATTGTACAATACAATATTGTGGTGGTTCATCTTATAATTCAGTCTAGAGAACCAGACAGCATCTAAGACCTGCTAACATCTAAATGTTCTAGGGGGAGGCCCCCCAAACCCTTCGTGCGTCATTTCGTCCGTGCGCATTTTTCAGGGCAATCTCTATTGGGCTCAGGGCCATCTGTAAATTAGCTTAGATGGCCCACAGGGCCATCTCCCAAAATCCTTAATGTTATGCACTGTAGAGATTGATTAAATCAAGCTTTCGCTGTACTTTTTTAGTTATTAACAGTCATTTTAAAAAGTGTTATTTAATACCCTGCAGTGCAGACCTGTGACTACCCTTCTGGCCTGCGAGAGTAAACCTTACCATGTTTTTGTATTATTGCCAACCAGACACTTTCACACAGCTAACAGTTGCTCATAACTCCAAAGAAGTTCACATACATGTATACGTTATCTGCCCAAACTTGAAACATATTGGGAATCGAACTTGTTATTTTTATGCCAGAAAAAGTAATAACACCTTTTTTAAGGCTAAGAAACATATTCTTGGAGCACAATAAAGCTTTTAATGCTAAGTAAAGTAATTGCACTTCTGCTCTTAAACGTTAATAAGAACACAAAAGTAGGTAATGTGGAAGCAAAGTAGCCGAAGTGAGTGTAGGGTAAATGTGTTTTACCTGAAACACTTCCAGTTTAATATTGTGCTCCTTTGCTCTCTGTTTCCATCAACCATATCTATTTCTTTAACCAAATTAATACTAAAGCAATGGGTACAGAATATTTGGATCTTTCCCACCACGTGTCTTGATAAAGGAAATCCAGAAATAACATAGCAGTTGAGTTAAAACTGTGAGAATGTCCCATCCCTGTTATCAGTCTGTTATCTGGCAACAGTAGCAGTTAGAGCTGGAAAAACACACCCTGCATTGACACACACATTTAGTGAAAGTCTAAGATTACAAAGTGGTTGTTACATTCATTTTTGTTGTGTGTCTCTGTAATTATCTGAATAACAATTTGAAAGGTAGAATGACAAAGCATAGTGTTTGTAACACAGAGGCCACTTAGCGATAAGTTAGCTTCCTGCTATGGCAGGAAACAGGAAAACAGTGACAGTATTCTTTACAGCTCCCACCTGCTTTCAATTATTAATAACAGGAAAGAGGAACCTTGTATGGCAGC